CCAGAAAGTCCGAATATCTCAAAGTTTAAAGGAATCTTAAAAGCGATTTCCTCCAAATACAAGAATCCTTGTATCAGTAGCTACAAAGGCAGGGTAAATGAGGGGGTGAGAGCAGTCCAACCCCAAGGATAGCCAGTAAGAAATGAGAAACAATGATAAACCCCATGAGAAGTCAGCCTGCTTTTGTTATCACAAGACACCAGCAATTCCGAACGACCTCAGTGATAAGATGCTCCTTTGGGCAGGGGTAGGCCATCCCCACTCCCCAGACCCACCCTACCCCATCCCCTGCTTTCTACCCTATCTGGCCTCTGATTTAATGTTAGGTGACTAAGAGCACACTCCTTTCTAATTTTTAAAAAAGAGGTTTTCTACTTCATATCTCCTAATTATCAAAGTGATATTTTATATCTTAGAAGATACACCAACAATAATAAGAAGGATTTAAGAAATTGTCGGGCTTCCCTGGTGGTGCAGTTGTTGAGAGTCTGCCTGCTGATGCAGGGGACATGGGTTCGTGCCCCGGTCTGGGAAGATCCCACATGCCGCGGAGCGGCTGGGCCCGTGAACCATGGCCGCTGAGCCTGCGCGTCTGGAGCCTGTGCGCCACAGCGGGAGAGGCCACAGCAGTGAGAGGTCCCAGTACCAGAAAAAAAAAAAAAAGTCATGCAGTGTCACCTCTACCCCAGGCCTAGCTGACACCTCCACTGGGCTGCTTGGTATTTTTCAATGACTAAAATTTACCTTTATGAACTATTTCCTGAGCGTCTGAGAGCCCATACCTTGGGTCTGCTGATGCTGTTTTTTCAGAATTTTAAATCACCGAGGAAACCATATTATCTGTAGGAATGCTTAGGAAAGTAAAATCCAACGTGTTTATATCCTTCCTTTCCCCTTCAGAGAAAATCCTTTCATTTGTTTCTGGTTTTCTGCTCTCCTGAGAGAGGAAGGGGTTAGAGTGAAGTTTATACCTGGAAGTTGGCGAGTTATAGCCACATACAGACAGCTTTATCCAATAAAGAAGCTAGGACTGGTTATCTAGACGAGAGAAGAAAACGAAATAGGGTCCCGGTTAATTCAAGACAACCAATTGCCTTGACCTTTGATACTGTAGTAAGTGATCACATAATTGTGGCAGAGAGCACAGAAGTGGCAGCTTGAAATAAAACTCCAGCTGACATACTTTTAAAAGCAATATGGCAGCTGTGAGCTTGCCACACAATTAGGAGGAGAGCTGGAAGACTTCCCTTTGGAAAGCCGGCCTGCAGCTGAAAAACAATGGTGAGTTCTTTCTTCCTCTGCTGTTCCTCTGTTCCAATTTAATATGAAATGATAATTTCTTCTTTTTCATGGGTGGGGAGAACAGCCAGTGGGAAACAGAGTAAGGGTCCCTCAACCCCAAGCTATGGTAACCTCAGTCCATGGTAATCCCAAGCCATGGTTTCCCTTTACAGAATGTATCCTTTCTTTCCCACCAATATCAATGATGGAGAAGAGATCATGCTTATGTAACAGTTAACAGTTAACCAACCAAAGGAGCTAAAGGACCATCCCTTCTGTGCTGTGAAGAGCATGAGTAGAGTTGCCATTGCCAGGTAAGCAGGTGTGAAGCAACGCTGTGATATTTGAGCTTTCTGTAGAGACGAATAAATTAGGAAAAGATTTAAAAGGGTCTTCAACCCGGAGGAATGGATAAGGAAGATGAGGTACGTATATACAATGGAGTATTAGCCATAAAAAAGAACAAAATAATGCCATTTGCAGTGACATAGGTGGACCTAGAGTTTGTCATACTGAGTAAAGTAAGTCAGACAGAGAAAGACAACATGTAATATCGTTTATATGTAGAATCTAAAAAAAGGGTACAAATGAACCTATTTACAAAACAGAAACAGAGTCACAGATGTAGAAAACAAACTTATGGTTACCAAGGGAGAAAGAAGGAAAGGGATAAACTGGGACATCGGGATTGACATATATACATTACTATACATAAAATAGATAACTAATAAGGACCTACTGTATAGCACAGGGAACTCTACTCAATACTCTGTAATGGCCTATATGGGAAAAGAATCTTAAAAAGAGTGGATATATGTATATATATAACTGATTCACTTTGCTGCACACCTGAAACTAGCACAACATTGTAAATCAACTATACTCCAATAAAAATTAATTTTAAAAAATTTTAAGAAGAAAAACTTTCTTGAACAATTATAAGAAAAAAAACCACATGGAACTATTTCTTTTGAAAAAGTTCTTCTTAGAGTAGTCACAAATGTTAGAAATTCAAATCTGGGGAATTCCCTGGCAGTCCAGTGCTTAGTACTTGGTGCTTTCACTGCTGGGGCCCAGGTTCAATCCCTGGTCAGGGAACTAAGATCCTGAAAGCTGCGTGGTATGGCCAAAAAAAGAAAAAAAGAAAAAGAAAAGAAAATTCAAATCTGAACAAAATAGCTCTCCCTGAATCCTCTTTATGAGAAAATTGATGATTTGAGTGTGATAGTCATCCCGACGATGATTATCTTGATAACATTTATAACATTTCTTGAAAAAAAAATATTTTTCCAACAAAAAATAAGATGTTCCAAAATTGTTAAAACGCTCGATTGTTTGTGCCCATTTCTATGTGCAATACAGTGTGGAAAGAATTCAGTTCCATGAACAAGCATCATTGAAAAGAGAATAATGAAATAAATAAGAAGTGAACTATGTGCTTTTAAAAAATATTCTTTGTGCTTGTTTGCAAAGTGTTTGAAAGCAAAAGTAGCAGTTTCTTTAATTAAAAGAAATTATGCAGCATGTGACCAATCTAATATAAAAAATATTACCAAATATTTTATGACTGTCCAGCATTTTATTGAAACCATCTAGTAATTCTGCGGCAACTGGTTCCCCTATGATGCTGAAAGCATGCAGACTTAGTGGAGCAGAGGGATGGGAGGGGTCCTGGGGAACACAGAATAAGTGACAAAAAGAAAGAATGACATCAAAGGAAAGGACAACAGATGGGATAGCAAAATGAGAAAGGGAGGGGACAGGAAGATTGAAAAGGGGATGAGGGTCATACAGAGTGAAGTAAGTCAGAAAGAGAAAAACAAATACCGTATGCTGACACATATATATGGAATCTAAAAAAAAAAAAAAAAGAAAATTCTGAGGAACATGACAGGAATAAAGATGCAGATGTAGAGAATGGACTTGAGGACAGGGGGAGGGGGAAGGGTAAGCTGGGACGAAGTGAGATAGTGGCATGGACATATATACACTACCAAATGTCAAATAGATAGCTAGTGGGAAGCAGCCACATAGAACAGAGAGGTCAGCTCGGTGCTTTGTGACCACCTAGAGGGGTGGGATAGGGAGGGTGGGAGGGAGACGCAAAGAGGGAGGAGATATGGGGATATATGTATGCATATGGCTGATTCACTTTGTTAAACAGCAGGAACTAACACAACATTGTAAAGCAGTTTAAAAAAGTAAAAAATAAAAATATGTTTTAAAAAGAAAGAAAAGGGGATGAGGGTTGTCTTAGTAAATTCTGCTACTTTCCTAAAAAAAAAAGTTAAGCAGAAGAACAACCCGAATTTGCTTAAAGAGGAACGGAATAGATACTAAAACCCTGAACAAAGAGCTGTAGAAAGGGAACAAGAACTCTGCCCGGCTCTCCCCCATCTCTGCTGTGTTCCCATTCAGCACCTCCCTGGCCAGGACTGGCCTCTGCTGCAAGTGGACACTGTGCTTCTCTCCGAACAAACTGTAGCCAAGAGAATTTAAGTGTTGATGTACCATAACGAGAGCCCAGTCTCCACTCAGGAATCTCTCCCTGGCAGTCAGAGTAAGCCAGGGTCTCACACATCACTGGCAAACAGATCATAGGGAAGGGCTGTAAGAAAAGCTGGAATAATGCCAGGTGCTGACCAGCCTCTCCTCTTGGAAGAGCTCTGCTATCTTGGTTTCCTATAAAGCAGTCTCCTCAAACTTTAACTCGCACAGGAGTCAACTTGGGGATCTTGTTTAAATGCAAATACTGGTTCAGAGGTGCTGGGATGAACCCAAATTCTGCATTCTAACAAGCTCCTGGGGACCCTGCTGGTCCTCAAGACGCACTGGGAGAAGTGAGTTATAGAGCACCCAGGTGAACCCTGAGTGAGTCAGGTGTGACAAGAGGATGGCAGGTTACATACCCAGAGAACACAGGAAGCAACATATGTTCTTTGTTCATTCATTACGGTACTTTGTCCAATTCCCCAGCATTCAGAGTGATGACAGTTTCCCTTCTGGACTTTTTGGCAGCTGGCATTCTCTACACATGAGTCTGGACCCACAGCAATACCAGCTGTGAATAAGCCCAGGGAAGGAAGTAGAACTCGAAGACTCCAGGAGTTCTAACCTGCCCTGTTAGCTGGGCACCCGGCTGGGCCCCCTGCAGCTTTTCCTACCTTCTTCTCACCCAATCTTTCTTCCACGGAGGAACGATAATTGTCTCTGAATCGTGCCAACCTGAATGTCAAGGGTATGCTGGAAAGCTTAGGTGATTGAAGCAGAACTATTGAGAAAGTGCTAAAAACCAGACTTCCTGATGGAAGCTAGTGGCTTGAGTCTGATTTCTTTACCCCTTTGAAAGATGTTCCAGATCCAGAAGCTTCCTCGACGTTCCTTATGTTTGTGTGTGAGACGGAAGGTGTAGGTGATGGAGTGCATCCTGGACAAACCGGAGGCAAATAGCACTAAGGAAAAACTAAGCTTTGGCCTCACGAAGAGAGTTGGAATTAAGAGTCACTCTCAGTTGGAGCAGTTTGATCTTTATTTCCTTTGCCAGAAACTGCGTGCGGCATGATGCAGTGTGGGTGTCCTCAGAGGTGCTACCTAGCTTTGCATGTTTCCTGACGGAGGCAGCACTCCTGCCAGCACCTAAGTGGGGTGTGTCGGTGGGAGGAGTAAGCAGGTTTCACTTCCTTGATGGTTGGAGACTCAGCTACAGCTGGCTTCTCTCTCAGCGGGGAGGGGAGGGCGTGAGGGGCAGCAAAACGTGTCTCTCTCTGCCTCTCACCCAGAGCGCCTCGCAGGGGCTTAGCGGACGCGAGGGGTGCGAATGGGCAGAGCAGAATCTCCAGAAGGGAAAATGAGCATCCAGGATCCTTCAGATCTGTGGAGCAGGTCGGACGGAGAAGCTGAGCTGCTCCAGGACTTGGGGTAAGTGGGCAGGTCCCCTTTTCCAGGTGCTTATTGGGTGAACCTTAACTCCTCACCCCTACGCAAATGCTCATCTTGATGAATGATTCTCTTTAGCACTCTTTCTCTCTGACACCCCAATCTTCTGTCCTTTCCACTTTACTCATCTGTGTCTGTGGGGGCCCAATTCCATTGTGAAAGTATGGACTACCTTTCCACATGTGAAAACAAGTAGGTGGAGAAAATGGGACAAAAAAATCAAATGCTGGACGTTCTTTGAGATTTTAGGGACAGAATTGGGCTGTCGTCGCGGTTGTTGCTGGGTTTCCTTGTTATTGATCTGGTCTATGAATAAATGTGCTATAAAAAGTTCTGAGCTCCAAGCTACTGACAGTAAGAGGGCTGCGCTGCTGGTGAGATAAACAGAAAGCCTAGACCCTACAGTAAGGGAGAGGGACTTTTTCAAAAGAGAACGAACGAGGAAGTGTCTGCAGCAGTGTCCCATGTGTGTTTCTTTCTCCTGACACTGCATTTGTGAGCTCTTGTATGCATGTATGTCTTTTAGGGCAACTTTGAGCCTTTTAAGTACTAACAAGTCAGGAAGAATATAAGCACTCTGCCCCAGACAGGTTACACATTTAGGTAGGAAGAGGCACTTCTTTAAGAAGGGACCAGATGAGACAACTCATCAGGATACTTAATAAAAGAAGCAAATGTTACACAAGAGAGGCGTAGGGGCTTTCCTACAGAAACTGCTCCTTTCCCCTGAAGCACCGGGAATAGCCTGGTGAGGCTGATTTTGACACCTGTGATTCCTAAGAGGCGAGACCTGCACCTGCTGTCTCACTAAATAGCTCTAATCTTCACAAACACTCAAGAGCTGTGATCATCTCCATCTCACAAAGGAAGAAAACAAGCACCAAAGGGATTGAATAACTTGCCTGCGGTCACACATCAGTTACAAATCAGGATTCCAATCTGCCAAGTCTATGTCCTTATCCAGAGAAAAGCTAAAGTAGGGATGAAATCTCTCTGTGTCAAGATTGCAGAGATTGTATTTTGGGGTGTTGTAAGCGTTCTCAATAAGTCCTGTCTTTAGATTTTAAACTTGAGGTCTCAGAATTGAACTTTACCTTCATAAGGTAAATCAAACGCAACAGCTAGACTTTTCATTAAAGTAAACTCCCCTTATGGGGAGTCAGAGCTCCAGGACACCTCTAGCCTTCTAGACCAAATCCCCAAACTGCAGAGGTAAAATGTTCCCTGAGCATCCAAAACGGGTGTCACAGAGTCCAGGCACTAAAGCTGGACCCTGGGCTCTCACTTAGATCCGTATGAAGTTATTAAACTATCATTCTTTATGTGTTTGGTTATGTGGATTCCCAGCCCACGATCAGTAGGAAGCCACAGAGGAGAAGAGAGACAAAGGAAATATTCAGCTCTGGTCCTTTAATTCAACAATCTTTGAGCCTACGCTCTGTGCTTGAGTACCCTTGGCACTCACTTGGATGACAAAGATGAGCTAAACACTGTCTCTTCTCCCCACCTTAGTGCCCGTAGCAGGAAGCAACCTTAGATAAAACCCACTAGGAAACAGAACTGTATCTTCCCTGCATGTGCAGAGATGGACATTCAATTCAACCCAGAAACACCCCAAAAAGGTGCTTTTATGTCCATACTTCACTATTTCAGAAAGTCTGGAAACGTCTTAAACATTGGAAGATGGTTTCTGTAACAGGCAAGCTACAGTGGTCTAGGGAAATTGCTCTACGGTTGTGGTTCTTAACCTTGGCTGTGCACTAGAATTACCCAAGGAGTTTTTTTAAATTCCTGCCCAGGCCACACACCAGACAAATGACATCAGTATCTTGGGGGTGAGCGTTTTCTTTTTAAACTTTCCAAGTGATTTCAGAGCAAGACCAAGGTTGAGAATCACTGCATAGAATAGAAATCCAACAGAAGCACTGAGTAAATGTGCCCTTATTTGTTGGAAATGTACCTGAATCTTAAAGCCGTTAATAGACGTTGACATTTCGTCTGTGGGTTTGGGAGCATTTTGTTTAACAATTTTATTGAGGTATATTTTATAGATCATAGAGCTCACTCATTTCCAGTGTACAATTCAGTAACCTGAGTGCCTTTAAAGAGTGGTACAACCATCACCATAAATCAATTTTAGAACATTTTCATCTCCCCAATAAGAAACCTCAGAAGCATTTTTTAAAATATACTCAGTGGTGTGTTAGTTAATAAACCACCTGGGTGAGGGATAGCCCTGATTCAAGGGTCTGCCTGTTTCCCCGGTATAAATACTCCAATCACAGGCATTTTCAAGCTGCCAAGGGTTTAACAACAAGATTACAAAATTCCTGAGAATTTAATAATGGACTTGAGTTAGTATTTGTGCCTCTAGGACAATCCTGATATACCTCTCATAGGTCATAAGATCTGAGCAAACTTGAAAATGACCTGTTGCCTCTGGCAGAATTCTGAATAAAATGAAACTTCTTCTTTGAACCTCTAGGCTACTGGTTAGGTATAATCTACCCCCAAACTTCTAATTAATTCAGTTTTTAAAACGCTCCTTAAAAACAAAATGATTTAAAGCAGTTGATAGATAAAAAGTGGCTGGTTTTAATGCCTTCATTTTGAAATCATTTTTAATAGTTATCTGAGTAGTTAGGTAGGTTCTTACCTTTGTATTTTTGATAGATACAGACAGACAAGGTGGTGGTTAAATTAAAGAGATGGCATCTTTGTTCTTTGGTCCCATTTTTCTTCAGGTTCTGGCGTCTGTAAGCTCTGCAAATTAAACCCTGCATTGCAGCAAATCCATCCCCTGCCTTTCTAGGACACACACGACTTGCTCAGAAGACATTCTTTCTAAAGTACCTAAATCAAGCAACTCAGATGCATTTCTGTGTCTCACATGCAGAGTATCAGTCTAAAGACACTTAGTTTCCTTCATCCTAAACATATTAATGCTTCCAGAAACAAAGGGGAAATAACACAATTTGCAATGGTTGCTCAGCTTCACGTACACGTTGGCCGAATGGGATGGGGGAGGGAGGGGCAAAGGCTGTGGAGAACGGTCGGTGAGAAGCAGGAGGTGTACTGGGAACAGAAGGCAGGCTGTGTGTGGCCTCCAAAATGAAGCGACGGGGCTGTGAAACAAATAGTGAATATTTGAGGCACCACCTAAGGAACAAACTAGGATAGAATTGCTAATCAGTTAGTAATTGATGATTCCAGCAATTCTTTGATTATAACAAAGGTTCCTACAAAACCATGTCGTTTTGTATGTAACTACAAACTATATAACTACAGACACAAAAGGGATACTGTGAAATAAAAATATCTTAGCATATCTTTAAATATTCAAATTATCTACTCAGACATATTCCTTCAAGCAAGAAATATAATAAATGTTCCCTTTTTTATATATTTTCCCGTCTCAAATTTTATAAGGAAGTGTCTGTGTTTGGCTGTGCTGTCAGAGTCAAGAAAGTAGATTCGAAGCTGTGGATATTTAAGTAAATTAATTAAAAACTAATTTCTCTGCTGCTTCCCATGTAAGAGAAGGTTGGAGCAGATCAGGGATCAGCAAACTTTTTTTGTCAGAAGCCAGGTAATAAATATTTTAGGCTTTGCAGGCTTTATGATTTCTGCTTCAGCTACTCACATCTGTCATTGTCATGCAAAAACAGCCATAGATAACACAGAAACAGATGACCGTGACGGTGTTCAAACAAAATATTATTTAAGGATGCTGAAATTTGAATTTCATACAATTGTCAAGAGTCATAAAATATTCTTCTTCTTTTTTTCCCCTAACCACTTAAAAACGTAAAACCATGCTCGGCTCACAGTCTACACCAAAACGTGTACCCTGGTAGGAACTGGCCCTCACATGGTGGTTTGCTGACAACCCAGGGAATAAGTAACAATCACCAAGGCGAGGTCTTATGAAGAGGCAGACATTTTGCATACAGGAGCTCTGGCCTTCAAAATGTATCTACGTTCCAGCTTTACACATGAGGAGACTCATTAGCAGAGAAATCAAGCTGCTTGGAGTCCCAGAGAATCTGGGTCCCAAGGCCATGCTTATTCCACCAAACCAGGTTGACCTCCTGTTGTGAGGGTCATTGGCCGGCACCAGGTCGTTCACAGAGTTTGGCCTTCACAATAACACCATCAATACAGTAGGATTATACTCATCTTATAGATGCAGAAGGCGACTTCAGATCAGTCAAGTGAACTGTCCAGGTCACAGACCTCATAGGTGGTGCCCTGAGAGTGCCTAGGCGCGTACTCCAGAGCTGACTCTCTCTCCACTGATGGAAGAAGGTACACCTTCTAAGAACGGCAATTTAGTAAGGGTTGGATGCTCACCATGCCCCAGGCACTATTTTAAGCCTTTTGCTTGTATGACTTATTAAATTCACACATCACTGCCAGGGAGTTACTACCACTAGTGACATTTCTGCTCACAAATGAGAAAAATGAAGGACAGAGCTTTTATCACATGCTCAAGATGACACTTTCATAAACCTTCAAATCCAGGAGTTTGGCCCCAGAGCCCACATGCTTCTCCACTAACACAACTTCCTGCTTATTATACCAGCACTGTTAGTGCTAGTGAGAACTGAGAGAAAAAGTAGTTCTGTGATTGCTACCACCAACACATTTTTTTACTAAAAGACATTATTCTTTCACATTCTTCACATAACAGACATGCATATACAAAGCCAGATCAATATCCTAATTCATCAGAACTTTTTTGAATTGTGTGTAGATTCCTTTCTTCGGGGCTAGGCAAATCGAATAGGCTAAGAAGAGCATAGTAAATTCAAGGCTTTAAAGGAAGCTGTTTACAGAGCTGATACCAAGTAGAGCAAAAAAGCTTGTTCCTCTTCTGGGCACAATTCCGTAATCTTGGACTCTAAAAATGGAAGGTGATTCTCTTGTGGCCGAGCGAGAGTATGTAACTAGTGTACAGTTTGATCTTGCTTGGACTCAAG